TTAAATATCAGTTTGAATAAAAGGGGTTAAATTTTGCTGGTTTTCTGTTGTGTGGAGTATTTTTTGAGCTGGGATCCCTTTGGTGAAAGGGTTAAAAAGTATCAAAATAATTAAAGATAAAAAGGATAAGTAAACAAATACAAAAACATTTGTGACAAGATCATTTAGGAAACTCAACTCAAACTCAACTCAACCGTTAACTCAATGATTATCTCATCTCGACTGAAAACCTCAGAGGCAAACCACTTTGTTGTGTGGGCTAAAATGCTTGTCAATGAAGTAAAACCAACAAGTCAGATTTTCGAAACAAATCGTGGCTTTCTGTAGAAAATCTTCATTAAGAACATGATTACCTAATCTTATCAAAGGTTTTTGTAAGTATCAAGGCAATTAATGGGTAGGGGAAAACACCAAGAAAGACTGAAAACTTCAGACGCGAACGACTTTGTTGTGTGGGCTAAAATGCTCGTCAATGAGTGAAACCAACAATCAGTGAGACTTTTGAAACAAATTGGACTCAGGCATTGTGGAGGAAGGTATGATATTAAAGATATAAATGCAGCAATAAAGATTTATATGATACTATATGGCAAGTCTTTAAACTGAAATAAAAACATTAAAAATAAATTGTCAATACCAATCAATGGCATTAATAATTTGCTAACTTTCTTAGGTCCAGGCACTAGGATTGGCCACTGCATACAAGAAAGATGACGGTACATATAAGTTTGTCAGGAGGCTGATGGCACTTCCTTTTCTTCCAAGCTCTGAGATTACCCGTATTTTCATCAGGTATGAATTAGTTATTAATTCTATAATCAAATATAATTTAATATTCAAAAAGCATAATCATTTAATATCATGATTGTTAATAAAGCCTTATTTCATTTCAGGCTTCTTCCTGAAGCAACAACAGAGGGCCTCCAAGCTCTAACAGGATATATCCGAGACAACTGGATTGAAAGTACAGTATTCCCACCAGAAAACTGGAGTACATATGGCCAGGTGGTAAGCACCAACAATGGCCTGGAAGGCTACCACAATGCCCTCAACTGTAGAGCAAGTGGCAAAGTCCACTTTCCATTCTATATGCTTGGTCAATATTTATATAAAGAAGCTAATCTTGTGGGGCTACAGATTAAGCTAGTTTCTGAAGAAAAACTTAAAAGAATAAAGAGAAAGAAATATTGTAATTTGCAATGGAAAGTGTAAAAACTATGGGAGCTTTTGAAAGCATGTTCAGTTTTGAACGGACAAATTTGTGGCCATTAAGCTTAATTGTAGGTTTCTTTTGTTGAAAATTTTTGCTCGTAAATAAATTGTGTACTTCCATATAACCTTTGAATAACTTTATATTCGTAAATAATATATTAATGATGGCAAAAAACGTAGTCATTTGCTTCTTACCTATTAAAGAGCGCCTGCAAAGGAGGCAGAGGCTACATGCAAGGTAACTAGAACCCAGTCTCAGCGCGATGCATAATGCAGCATTAATTAAATATGGCGGCTATAAGCAAAAGCTGGCTTTAGCGATGACTGACTCTCGAGCTGGTAAAACATTAATCTCGTTACAATATAAAGTATGTTGCTCTGTAAAAAATAAGCCATGAGTTTAGGCCTCACAACTGCAGAGCACAGCGCAAGATACAGCACGCCCGCAATAGACCTTTTCACCCTTGACGATGCATCATGGGTAATCAGTACATTGCTCAACCCAAGATGGCGGACGTGCTTTGATGAGTCTTGTTTTGATGATATACCTGTGCTTTGTTCTAGGTTTTTGGACTAATTGTTACGCAGAATAGCATAAACAAATCAAGAATTATTTATGACAAAGCACCTCGAAGACTTTCTCGAACTCTCCTGCGACGAACTTAAGTTCTATCTTCAACAGAGAGCTATTCCGTTTGGTGGAAATCATGCAGATCTAGCAGCACGTGCTCTCGTAGCTTTTATACAAAACGTCCCTGTTAAGCAGTCTGCTGAACAATTGGCAAAGGAATTACGGAACAATCAAGACTTGCTTCTTAAATCGCTTGGTTTACAGCAAGATCCTTTAGAGATCAAAGAATGGAACAATGACCTGACAAAATGGCCAAAAGTTGATCTTGGCAACATTTTCTCTTATATATTGGAAAAAAAGCCTTTCCCACGGAATATATTGGGCAGTACAAGGTCAGAAAGGCATACTCCCACTTTAAAAGTGGTTTCATCCATGAAATTGTGTCTTCAACAACACCATCAGGGAATGTCTTACTCTTCACATGTGTTACTCACTCACTAAGTAAGAGAACCACCACATAAAGTTTGGGTTGTTTATGCTGTTTATGCTTGAATGTTACTGTTTGCAGAAGCCAACAAAGAAAATGAAAGTTCAAATAATAATTAGTCAAATTGTGAAAAAAGAAAAACACTCTTTGACAATAGTGAAGAAAAAGAAAATTATTAGGACTTCTCAAATTGTGGCCCTAAATTGTCCTAACTTTGGTTGAAGTATAAAGAGAATAATATTTGATACTAAAAAATTAATAAAGAATAAGTTTGTAAACATTTTCCAGTTTATTTTATCATGAGTATGAGCAAACAAAGCATCACTTTTATCCAGTATGATTCATGATGCTTATTTTCACCATAGTAACTATGCTGAAAATTAGTTTATGCTTGAATGTTACTGTTCAGTTTAAATGCGTTTAAATAATGTTAGGTTAAAAGATAAAGGAAAGAGAAGGCTGAAAATATTTCAGTTTATGTAAATAGAACGATGTGTTCACTTAATATACTGTGTGAATATATTTTTTGTACAAGCATATTTAACTTGTAAATGGGTTTTTAGACCTTACATGTCAAGCTTATTTGATTAAAGATTTAATTAAAAAAATGAAAATATTATTTCACAAACACCATTACTTTCAAGTCTTGCTCCAAGTCAAATTATTCTAAATCGTAACAATATTCTAAAAATTTCGTAAAGAAATGCTTACACAACTACCATCATGAATGAATAGAATGATGCACGATTATCTCACTGTTAAAACTGGGCTGAAAGTTTGTAAAAAAACCCATTTGCATGAATAGTATTCCTTTGATGTCCCTTTTCAATGAATCACCAGGAGATGCTTTGTTTTTAGACAGCGGTCTTCACATGCGAAAACACAGGAAGACCACTTCGAAAAAGCACAGGTAAACCAAGGATTTCGTCATGAGGTTGTGAGGTCGTGAGGCTGTGAGGTCGTGAGGCTTTGAGGCTGTGAGGCTGTGAGGCAATGGTGGGCAGTGCAATCAGTGATAAAGCCAAAGCCGTGATAACTAGCGAGATCAATGTGCGCGGTGTCCGCTAGTTTCGCCCCGTTGCACTTTTGACCCGGTAATATTCGACCCGCAATACAATCAAGTTCGACCTGTTACATGCCTTATACATAAACCTCCACTAAAGGAAAGAAAATGTAATACTGAAAGTTACTTTAGTCTTTAACTTTGAATTTGAATTTTTTTCACACATATAGCACCGCGTTTAACTTTGATGAAGACATCTGAAGGCAGATATTAAGATCACACAGAAACAGATTGACACTTGTAAAATTTGAATTTGAAWTTGATATTACAGTAATCCCAAATAGTTAAACTAATACTGGGAGACTGATATTCCACAAAATATAAACACAAAACACAGATGTGGTTATCCGTTCTGATCGGTTATCCTGGTTAAGAAACTATCTGATAATCATCTTGTAAATTACTTGTCATGCGCGAACTGAAAACCCTMAGTTTGTTTTGACTGCATTCTGCGTCAGTCTGGAAAATATATGTCACACCATAAGTATCCGGCTGTAATCATTCTTGTTTAAGAAAATAAAWGAGTAATGAAGATTGTAATAGTATTTTGCTGCTTAACAGTCATATTCAGCAGTTTTGACAGTAAACATTCATGGAAACCCATTCAGCYAAATTAAGTCAGTCGTGGTCAATGGTAATAACAGTTCTCAATTATGCTTAAAYTCACGGCATCGTCTGACTGAGAAAGCTTAAATCTTCCACGAAAATATGACCTACGTCAACTATACTAATTAAATGGTTTTTTTAAAATCAATGTTAGCCAGTTCTGTCACTGGAAATAATGTTTTTCGGATGGAGTTTTTCTGTAGCGTCACCAAGCTAACCGATCACTTGACAAACAATAGGGATTTTTAAAGTTCGACCCATTTCTTCAAGTTGTAAAATCACGAGATTTTGTAGCTAGAAACCTTAGTTTCTTCCACGAAAATGTCAACTATAATACTAATTAAATGTTTTTTTTTTAAATCAATGTTAGCCAGTAATGTTTTTCGGATGGAGTTTTTCTGTAGCATCACCAAGCTAACCGATCACTTGACAAACAATAGGGATTTTTAAAGTTTTACCCGTTTCTTTGAGTTGTAAAATCACGAGATTTTGTAGCTAGAAACCTTAGTTTCTTCCACGAAAATGTCAAATATACTTATTAAATGCTTTTTTAATCAATTCACTCATTCCCTGATTCAATCACTTCTTCTTTCATTCCCCCTTTTCACTTTTTTATTTACTTATTTCATCACTCACTCATTCATTCATCCATTCTTTCTTTATTCATTTCTCATTGCAGGTTCAAGAATTGGGTCTTCAGACCCAATACAGAGAAGACAATGGGTCTTTCAAGTTCGTAAGAAAGGTAATGGCTCTCCCTTTCTTACCTGCCTCAAAGATTACCATCATGTTCGAGAAACTCGAAAAAAAAGCATCAGGCAGAGCCTTGACAAAGTTTGTGGAATATGTGAGGAGCACGTGGATAGAGAGCTCGGTCTGGCCTCCCTCATGCTGGTCTGTGTTYAATATGGCAGTAAGAACAAATAACAATGTTGAAGGCTGGCATAATAGCCTAAACAGGCAAGCCAATGGGCGATGGGCAATGCCTTTCTACCTCCTAGTTGGCATTCTGTATAGAGAGGCATGCCTTACGGCAATAAACATTCGCCTTGTATCTGAGGGAAAGCTGAAAAGAATTCAGCGTAAAAGGTATAGGCTCTTACAAGCCAAGTTGTTTTACTTTTGGGAAGAGTATGCGGAAGATCAAATTAATGAGTGGCAGCTTCTAAAACGCTGTGCCCACTTGAATGGGCCTAGAGCTGAGTGATTTAGTAGTAATAGTTGTTATTTTTAGTATTTTACTCCGGTTTTCATCTGAATAATATTGCTATATCAATGTATTTTTTTGTATTCATGACATAATTCAACCTCTTTCGACTGCAATGTGTTTTTTGATAAATGTACTATATTTATTAATCTAAATGTATTTTAATAGTATTTTGGCTTTAGTTAATCGGGCAAAAGAAGATATTGCTTTGCCATGATAAGTCAGACTTGTCGGGTAGATTACTAAATTGGTTGTAATATTAGGTTGTTAATAAGACAACTCTAAACTAAATTTTATATAAATATATTCGTAATCTCGCGAGATCAGCTAGATACTTTGATAAAAGAGATGTGTAATTGTAAATAAGCTTAATTCTCCTAATGTTGTTAAAATAAACGATTTTTGTTTTGATGGATTTGTGTTTGTGATTTTTCAAACTGTTTGTATATTATGGTAATATATATTAATTAGTATCGAGAAATTCAAGTTACTGTTGGATTTGGACGAAAGCCAATTTAGCGCGTTTTCTTCATAAATTCAGTTTGATGACGGAAAAACTGTAAACATTCAACAGATGTTTGCAAATGAGAACAATTACCTTTATCATATTCAATCTATAAGACAAATTGTCATTTGTAGTTTCAACGTTAAGTTCTATTTCATCCGAAGCAGATCGAGTCGCGCGCATCCGCTCCGCTCTTTCAATCACTAATACTTTCTTTTTTTTTCGTCGAGTTTTTTCGATTGTCCATGTAGTTATATTTTTCCTGAAACTTGAAGTAATTTCAATGAGAAATAGTAAGTAAATACTCGTTCAGTTCTGCCTATACGCTCAGCGTGTTCACAAAGGTTCGTTCACAAAATGGGTAAATATATTTAAACAGCAGACTTCTATATAATTTGAAAACACATCTCACCCTCATGATATGTTTCATAAATACGAAATTTAAAGCATATCATAATGTGTAAGCAAAAAAAAAAACATTTTGATGCTGGTCGAAATTGCAACGGGTCGAACTTGATTATGTTGCGGGTCGAACTTACCGGGTCGAAAGTGCAACGGGGC